ATTTTATATTTTAATGAAAAATCTTACAAATATATTTCAATAAAAATTTCAACGGAAGCATAACTTCTGTTTGAATCATTCCAACGGAATTTTCAATAAAAATAATCCGTTGAAATGAGTTTTCTATTGGAATTTTAGATAGAATTTGATGATTCCAACGACTATTTTTCCAACAGTTTTTAACTGTAGGAATTTTCATTAAATTTTTTATTTTCACCCTAGTTGGAATCGCCAAAATCCAACAAAAATTCTAATAGAAAATTCATTTCAACGAAAATAATAGCATTAAAATATCCATTAGAATTGTTGTTAGAATTCCATTGGAATATATTTTCGTTGGAATTTTCATTTTCTTGTAGTGATATTCAATCTTTTACTCTACTCTAATGTATAGAATGCCAAAATTTAACTTTTTTTCTCCAGTCAACCGCACTACATTTCACTCTACATGAAATATATCAGTATAAAATAAAATTTAAATACAACTATAAAACCAAGATTTTAAATTATTAACAAAATTTTGTATATTTTATCAAAATAATATTTAGAAATAAAAATCGATTACAAAACTAAAATTTAAAGGGAAAAAATTGTAGTGCGATTAATAGTACTGCACTACATGTAGCGCAATACTGTTGACTAGTGAATGTAGCGCAGTATTGGGGCTAATTTTTCGCATTACTCTGAAGTAGAGTAGAAATGTGGCATAGGGCTAGAGAAGCTCTAAGTGTAATAAATATTTCAATTTCGGGGGTTGGTAAAATTTGTTGTCCATTTCACGCCTAGTATTCTTCTATTATTTTTTTTAGTAATATACAGTAGTCCATTATAATTAGACATGGCCCGATTTAAATTCGGACCACCGGCGGGTCTTCGGGTAACAGCGATATTTGAACCGGTCCTTACCTATGTACATGCCAAGTACACGACTTGGTTCCAGACTCATCCTAAAAGAAAAAAAAAACATTGATTATTCCAGGGTAGGCCCGGCCAAAATCTTGGCCAAACCCAGACCCATTGACCACGAGTCTTATTGGGCTGGGTTTGAGTTGGGTCGACGAGCCGTACGGGCCGTGGCCATCTCTAGTTATATATAATTGGTTTTAAAGTTTGGATTAGATTATAGCGAGCAGTTTATATTAAAAATAGGCAAAATTGCATTTTATGCCCTCTAACTATGCGTATGTGGCAAATGTGGACAGTTTTATTTTGGTTTGACAAAAGTGCCCTGAAACTTATTAAAACTCGGAATTCGTGCCCAATTTATATACAAGTTACCGGATTTGACCGGTTTTTCGTGTAGCAAAACAGGACAGTAACTTGTTAAAATTCGAAATTTGTACCCAAATTGGGCAGTTTTAACAAGTTTCAGGGTACTTTTGCCAAACCAAAAAGAAGTTGTCCACATTTGTCATACACCCCTAATTACAGGGCGTAAAATGCAATTTTGCCTTAAAAATATCCGCCCAAAATCAAGAGTATAATAAGTATCCTTTCATTTTTGTTTTATTTTTAGGCTATTCTAATTCAATTAATAAAGCGTAAGAAAATAAAGATTTCTTAAGATAAGAACTGTTCTAAGTAAGAAAAATTAAATGAAATGAAATAAGAGACTTGCACTAATCGTGTGCATTATGGAGTAAATTTGAGGCTACAATGTGTGGGATTGTGTGCATGCTGTTGATCACCATTGGATCACAACGTCACACACATACACAAATCCATGTGAGTGCATGTTGATTCAACGACGGTAACTCTGTGTCTCTCTATACGGGCAGTGAATGATATTAATATACCATCAGGAAATAACTTTTTGAGACTATATATTTATTATTAGCTCTAGTGACTTGCAGTAGGGGTGCACAAAAAAAGGCTAATCGAGCCGAACCGACCGAAACCGAATATTCGGTTTGGACCGAAACCAACACCGAATATTTGGTTTTGGTTTTGGTTTATATTTTTTTAAATTTTTGGTTTTCAGTTCGATTTTAATATAACTGTTAACCAAACCGAAAATCGATAATATATATGACTTAAAAAAAGCCCAGTACTCTATCTATCCACCCAAGCCCATTTGGCCATTCATTGGCCCATTCATATTATATATTTAAGAGAAGGAAATAAAGGCCCATTATATAAAAATTTGTATAAAACACACCCGACCACCCAACTCCCAAGCCCTCAATTTGTAAATAAAAAATAGGGTAAATTAGTTTTTGCCATATGAACTATTGTGATTTTTACGGGTTATCATATCAACTATTTTTTTATTTACAAACTGCCATACGAACTCCACGTTTTTTCATCTTGGCCCCTAAACCGGATATAAAGCAGTTTTGACTCAAAAAAGTTGATTTTCGAGGGTATTTTAGTAAATTCGATGTTATAAAAAAATAAAAATAAAAATAAAAAAAAAAGAAAATGAAACATATCGTTGCCAACCAACCAACGTAGCCTCCCTCTCCATCGGCGCCCTCCTCATCGCCTTCGCCGGCGATGTCTCCGGGCTCGGCTGCCGCAGCCATTTCCTTGACTGACATTTGGATGCTCAACGTCTTCGAGCCCTCCCTGTCGACATCTCATGCGACAAAAACGCAGCCATCATGCTTGGGACGGAATGTTCGCCTTCATGGTTGTCTAAAATGTGCTCGGCTATGCCGCCGGATCCGCCGATTCAGCCGGTTAAATAATTGTATAACGGCTATATTTATCTCTTATTAACCGGAGAAGAGGTAACTGTACAAAAAAGAAAAAGAAAAAAGAAAAAAAAGAATGAAAATTTTTGACAACCATTATTATCCTACATACCNTCTTTGTGTGTGGGGATTGATTTTCTTCCTAATGGATAAGCAACGGGTCTGGATACTGGACATGTCGGCCCATATCTTGTTCTTGGTCGTGCCCAATATTTTGGTGGTGCACAGTCCCTTGGCGTGCCACCCACTCTCCGACGCCGGCATATTCTGCGTCCATCATTTAAGCATTCCCGTCACAGCCTCCGTCGCGCTCACATTGTCCAACCATTTTTCCGACAGTGCCAACGAGTTCTCCAGAGACCAACCTGTCTCATTCTCCGGTACATTTTCCGGTACAGGCTCTGACGGTATCTCCGACAACACCTAATCGATCCTCCGATGTGCTACGTGCCTTCTCCGAGTCCATCTCAGGTGATGACCCCTCTGCCTACCCCAACGAGTTCCCCATAAGCGGAGGTTCTGGCTACGGCCACTTCGTCGGCCGGTGTTCCTTCGAGTTATGCAACACCGTCAGGGTCGCCGGATGAGTTCCCGTCAACCGGCTGTGTAGGATATGTGAGGCTGCGTGAGTATGGTTCCTAGGTCTAAGTTTCAATCGTTCATTTCTTTTTTTATTTTTCTAATACATACAGAATTCCTAAAATACCTTACAAATCAGCTGTTTTTTTGACAAAAACCACTTTAATTCTGATTTCATATGGCAAAGTGACAAACTCATATAGTTCATATGGTGGTTTGTTAAAAATAAAAGTTTATATGATAATGCGCTAAATCGTGATAGTTCAGATGGGTCAAAGTATTTTACTCTAAAAAATATCAAACCTATTAATTAACTAATGTAATGACTAGTCACTAAAGTAAAATAAATTAAATCTATTAGCAAAGACAAAGTCTATCTCCCATTTCACTCCCAGCCACCACGACACTCACTTTACACAAATTTAAAAGCCCTAGTTTTTGAGAACATCTACCAGGCTCCTAATCGTGAATCGTGACTCCGATTGTGAATCTGACTTCATCTCCGGTCTCCCGCACGGCGCACACTCCGACGGTGTCCGAGCTCATACATCCGTGGCCCCGCACACACTCAAGCAATTTAGAGATTGAATTTGTATCTTGTGTTTTACATTTGTTCTCATTTTTTTTTGTTTTGTTTTGTCACATTTGTTCTCAATTGTGCAATCAGTTTCTTTTGTTATATTTGCTAGACTGAAGAAGTACGTTACTACTAGTCTGCTACTTGATTTTGTTGGAGCCAAGGGTTCTTGTTATTCGGATTCACCTAGTTATTGTTTTTTGTGTTACTCAATTTGTATGTTTCAGTTTTTTATCTATGAAATCATGGTTGTTGCTGAATTAATTAGTTCTTAATTATTTATTGCGATAGATTTTCGGTTAAAACCGAACCGAAACATAGAAGTTCGATTCGGTTTTCGATTTATGTAACGGATAAACCATATTTTCGGTTAACCGAAAATTTGGTCGGTTCGGTTCGGTTTTAACCGAATGTGCACCCCTAACTTGAAGGGTCTCGATAAACAAAGGAGGTCGACTGTGCGGTTAATAGGAGAAAGGACAACATAATTAGTAAGTGTAGTGTGCTTGGATATAGCTTGGGTTGAGTTTTGATATATAGAATTATTTTGTTTAACGAAGTTATTTTTGAAAAACCATTTGAATGATGAAAATGAAAAAAAAAAAATGGAAAGAAACAGCCAGACAATTTGATATTGAAATTCAGTAGTGCAAAAATTTCCATGACATAAAATAATTTACAAAATAAAGAAGGGGAAGAGGGAGTGTAATGGATGGGCCTGCAGCAACTAAAAAGGTAAATGGAGGGGTATTTGGTGCCATTCTTTTTTGCATGATACTTCTATTTAACGGTACANTTTTTTTTTTCGTATTATAACTTTATTTTGTAATTTTTTAATATTAAAATGGTACTATGAATAAAAATTTAACACAATAATACAAGTAGATTTCATTAAATCAAAAGTTTTCAAACACACATAAATCACAAAATACACAAATAAAAACAACATAAAATACATTTTTATTATTTAGGTAATAAACATTTATATAAGATTAAATATACATATGTATAATAATTTATTTGAAATAAAAATGAAGAAAAAAATAATATATTTGATGTAGAGTAAAATGTAGAGATAAGGGCTGGAGACGAAACTTGGTATTTGTTTCACTCTACTCTAAAGTAGAGTAAAGTCCGCGCTAGAGTAGATATAGGGACTAGAGATGGTCTGAAGCTTCGTGTCCTCCTCAACAAGCTTTCTAATTCATTAACATCTCACTTAGTTAATTTGAATAGCCCTATATTAAAGAAGTAACGAGTTAAGCATAAATTGCACCCGGAGATAAGTTATCACAATCATGTCTAGAGACTTAGGCTATGTTTGTAAGAGAAAAAATCTCAAACCAAATTATTTCACACTCAAAATCTAACTCAACATAACTCAACTCCACTATCCTCAATATTATCAATATAATTAAATAATAACAATCAATCATTAAATAATAACAACAATCATTTTTATACATCATATCAAATTTAATTCACTATTTCATTCATGCACATAATTTTAACTAATCATTCATTTATATCATCTATTTCCTACTTTTACATCAGACTAATTTTAATTATTTTATTTTAAATATTATTTTAATATAAACTCAAAATCTCACTACCAACTACCTATACTACTTTTTCTAAATTAACCTTAGTTAACGAAAAAAAAACTCATTTTAAGTTAATTCACTCAAATTATTTCTTTTGCAAACACGCCCTTAAACCTTGTTGAGAAATTAGTCATGTCAAGAACATGTTGCTGCATACTTCGCGACCCATCATACTTTTTGGTCGTGAGTTTAGCCATAAATGTTCCTGCCATTGACTTATCCGCATACTGGAAACGCTCTTCCACAAACAAAACGCATTCCAATATCCACACCATCAAGAAGAGTTGACTTAATGTTGTTGGCAATCGTCATTCGCATGAAGCGCTCAAACATAATCCGTTACACATGTCCCAAGCCTTACAGTTTGATTTCTCAATCTCACTACTTCGATCAGTAACGTCAGCGGGCTTTTCTTCAAGGAGTGCCAATCCAATATCCAAAACACCTAAATGAAAATTGACTTGCTCACGCAATTCAGAGAAATTCTTTGAAGACAACAACATAAGAAGCTTGCGAATGAAGAGAGATAGCTGCACAATCATAAACGTTCACTTAATTAGTAGATTCAGAAAATACATTCATAACATATATTGTAGGTCTCCTTTGGGTAAACACAATAATATATATTATTATTAAAAGTCGAATGTCATCTAACACTTTATGAGAAATTAAATAAACTCCATCAAACATACATAACATTTTTGGATATCTACATACGCTCGACAAGAGAATATTAATATTTATTAGTTATAGAACATTGATTCACCGTTGGGTAAATTCATAATATCTAACAACTAATAAACTCATTATCTTGAATAATGACATTCTCAAGAGAACATAAATTATATCACCAAACATTAGAAAATTAATCCAGCCACTTTAATGACTAACAAATTAATTTTCTCTTAATGTCATTATAACAAACAATTATAACAAAATAAATTATATGACCGAACATTAAAAATTAATTAGACCGCTTTGATGACTAACAAATTAATTTCATCTTAATGTCATATAATAGACAATTGTAACAATAAATTATATGATTGAATAATAAATTAATTAAACCACTTTAGTGACTAACAAATTAATTTATCTTAATATCATATAATATAATATAATAAGCATCATGCAACCCATATCATGACACCATAAAACAGTTAAATGATATCTCAACCATGAAACAAATGTCTGCTTATCCTAAACAAATCATGCGTGGGTTTCAATTGTCATTAACAAACAATATTCTTAATACATGTTCAAAATTTAAACTATTATTCATGAATCACGTCCCCCCAAAATAAAGAATTCCACCGACATTGAAACACTTGAATAAAATATCACAACAACATCAATTTATCATGAAATCAGTTTATACAAATCATAATTTCATATGCAGCCATATGAACAACTTTATGTAAACAAACTTCATGCTTACTGAACATCATAATTACCAAGCCAAGCATTGATACGGTCCCACATACATAAATACCATGAAATGTTCGGAAGAAATTAAATTTCCCGAAACTTCGTCACAATTCATGATAAATGGGTCAACATCACAATGTTAATATACATCATAATGTTGACATTTGCGGCTGATGTGGATCGGTAAATCATTATGATACAATCGTGCTCATATGATTTATACAGTAAATTATTTATTCACAACCACAATACATGCTCTAACACCGTATTTCAATCTTGAATAAATAATTTGCTTTATACCAAACTAATATTCCTGTGCACATTCACAGAGACAAATATAAATTTATATATTATATGTATATGTATAATATTTATAATTGTAAATTAGATAATGAATGTATTATGTTTTAAATTTTTTACTATATACAGATATACAATATAAATATAAATTATTTAACTTGCGTGTGAATCTTTATATTAATAACATAAATTTTAATGGATAATGTAATTTTGTAATTTAGAGTGACCATACAATTAATTAGTTAGAAAAGCATTACAATTATTTTTGTTATTGTTATAATAATTATTAATGTAATTTAAGAAATTTAATTATGACACTCGTGTCAATTAACTAATATTAGAGAAAAATCGTTTGATAAAACGAAAAAATAATATTTATTGCAGAATAAGTATCTTAAAGAAAAAAAAAACTGCAATACAATTTTTTATAAGTATGTAACTTTCACATACTATTTTAATGTAAATTTATAATTATTTAGTATTAGTAGTAACTAGTAATCAACCTGTGCATTTGCACAGAGAATAATCTTTTAAAAAGATAACAATATAAAAATAACCATAATTTTAATTCATGAAAAAATATGAATTAAGAAAATAAATTTCAAAATAGATTTTGATAATGTAATTGCTATGGAAGAGCCGTTACAACCATTTTCTTTATGCTAATACATCCAGTCATTTTCATGAGTAGGTGTGACTTAAAATTTGAGTATAATTTTGTAACTTAAAAATGATATTGAAAATGTTGAAAATTTTGGAGGGATAGTAAAATTTAATGCATGATAATATAATTAAATGCTATGTTGCTCCTCTTTATATATATAGATTACTGCATAATAAATTAGTTTAAATTATTATTACACTTTATTAATGAATAATGTAACTGTTCCACATTAATTGAAAAAAAGCACGAAAAACCTATAGAGGTTAGGGATGTCAATAAAACCCGTAGGGTCGGGTAACCCGCGGGTTACCCGCATTTTCGGGTCGAGTAAATTCGAGATGGTCGGGTTTCAGGTCGTGTCGGGTCGGGTGTGGGTATAGTAGGAAAACCCGTTACCCGACCCGATTACCCTACCCTTTTACCCGTAACCATTGAATTTTATATATATACATATATATAAATATATATTTATAACCTATTATAAATATAAAAGTAGTCATGTGTTATTAATATTAAAAATTAGATTATTTATTATAATTTTGATTAATGGTTAAATTTATGATTTTATTATCATTTTTTATTAATTGTACAATAAAATAACTAAATACTTAATTTTTAAATGTTATATTATTAAATAGACTATAAAAGATAAATAATTATATCTCATTATTTATTTAAAAAATAATATAACTTTTTTTATAGTTTTTATTGTCAAACTTAATAAATTATTTGTTACATTATAATTAATTGTAAAATTGTTTATTTTATTTTTTTCATATGAAACGAGATGCGTCTTGTAAAGCCCAAATTAAAGGTTAAAGAATATCCGCTCCTTTAAATAAAGACGTGTGCTATCATTAACCAAATATCCGGTTATTGATATAGAGTGGTTACCAAAAAATAGAACGCGATAAGGACGCTTCATGGAAATATCAATGGCATAAGGTCATAACAGATCGATATACATTTTAACGATAAAAGCTCAGATGGAATGGTTTATGATAATTATGTCGTAATTAATGAATTAATTAGATGTGTGAAAAGGATATAATTAATGAGAAGTTTGAAAAGGACATAATTAATGAGAAGTGTGAAAAAGACATAATTAACGAGAAGTGTGAAAATGACATAATTAATGAGAAGTGTGAAAAGGACAAAAACTTATCGGTTTTGGAAAATATTTAATGCAAATCCGACATTGACCATAATTTGACCTACTATTTCGGATAAATGTTAATTCTTATTATATAAGTATAGATTATTGTGTTAATTAATACAAGTCTGCCATTTTCAAAGAAAAAGGGACTCACCCCAAAGCTCAAATTTGGCGAGATTTGTAATACGACTCCATCTTTATAATTTTCTTAAAAATGTCTTCCAATTTCAAAAGTTTCAAAAAGTTTTTTTACTTTGAATATTTGGTGACTCATATAGACTATTAGAAAGTTGAATTGAATACCTTAAAATTGTATGATTGGTATGAAGAAAAGATATGAGAATGGAATGATCATTTCATTAGTCATTCCTTATTCCATGATTGATAATATTTTTGGAAAAAAATGAATGACCATTCCAATGGGAATGGCAAAACCCATCTCTATGGGATTAGCCATTCCATAATTAATGGAAGGTTTTTTCATTCTCATGTTTGTAGGAATCAATTTTTTAAAAAATAAAATTAACAAGTAATAATAAAAATAAATACATAAAATATATTATAAATCATGATTAAAATATATTAAATAAAATTATTTAAAATAAATTCAAATAAAATTTTGAAAACTTACTTTTATTTATTGTTTAATTAGTTATATTAAAACTTTTATTTATTGTTTAATTAGTTATATTAAATACATATATAAAAATAAAACTAAAAAAAAGCATTTATATACAATTTAAAAATATATTATTTTATTTTTATTCATCATATTTGTTATATATTTATTCATAAATTGAATTATAATATAAAAAATTATATTCGGCATTAATTAATATGTATAGGAATACACAATTCAATAATTCATTATATAATATGAGTGTAACAAAACAAAAAATTATTATATTTTTCTAACGCACTCCTATGAAGGTGAAAAATAGACCGGATTGGTCGATTCAAATTGAAGTTGTAAGGTCACCCACAATTGTTGAGTCAAAATGACTTTAATATATTTATTATTATCCTAAATAAAAAAATAACAATAATATAAATATTATTTTTTTTATAAAATAGTGATAAATTATAATAAAGAATGATAATGTCATTCAATTCAGGACTTATTCTTTCTGCATGCCAAACGCATCAATGACAAAACTTGTTTTATTCATTTTCCATAATCATTCCATTCTTCAATTTATTCAATTCCTACCAAATTCTATTCCATTATACCAATCATGACAGATTAATAAAAAATCTTAAAAAGTTTAAATGAAAACCTTTTATATGTCTAAAAAAATTAAATTTAATAAGACAATTGACAACATAATTAGCTTGCATATTTTTGAACTCTGCCTAATTCCTCATAGGCGGTCACAATCCACAAATCACAATTGCACAAATTGGATTTCGAACCGCCACTGATACGGGAATTTCGCAGAATAATCATTAGTATTTTCGATCAAATCCCCAAAATCCTTGGTTTAACAATTTCAAATTTATTCTTTGTCAACAAAAGAATCCCTTTCCAGATCCAACACTCGCTTAATCAATAGATTATATCTCTCTTATTTAACTTCCCCATGATCGCCAACTCTCCATCGCTTCATGTCCGTGGCCGGTTGAGATCAAGTAATTATTTTTCTGATTCATTTTCATATTGTTTACAAGTATCTACTTGTTGAGCGGAATTTAGCTGAATTTAAACATCGGATTCAATTGACGTGAATTTGGGTTTTTTCTCAGGAGGTATAATGATAGAAATTTTTTTTTTTTTTGTTCTGGTTTGCTATTTTTAGTTTGAAATTTTACTTTCAAATGAGGCACATTGTGAATTTTTTATCAAATATTGATTCCACGGTTGTATTGTTTGGGTTGCTCGTTTTTGTTTCAGTTATCATCTGATGCGATATCTAAGCTTTTCGTTGATTGCTATATTTCTCATCTTCTTGATTTTCTGCAGCTTATCTGAGGCATTGGTTATGTGTGAGGGATTAGTGGAGGATGATGAATGTTGGTGATGCTTGATATGTGTATGGATATATCTGGGCCGTATGCATCTGTTGGAATAGGTCATCAAGGTGTTGTTTTCATGAAAGAGAAAAATCGGTGACCTCCCTGAATGTGAAAAGTTAGTAAAAGCAGAAATTTGTGAAGGTTTTGATACCGGATTTTATAACTAGTTTGAATAAGAGAGCCATGACTTCTGTCTCTATTAAAGAATGGCCTAAATCGGCATACCCAAAAGCCCTTCTTTCCATTGTTGCTTCAGTTGGTGGTCTTGCCGTATTCTTACTTCTTGCTTCCACCTTTTTGCTCTCGCAACCCATCGGTTCTACTGTTCGTGGGTACTTCTATGGTGTTGAGAGCTCGAGAAAAATTGATTCAGGGTCTGCCACCATTCATCCAAGTCCCGATTCCAGCTACAATATCAATCAGATTGAAGACATACAAAAATCAAATTTAACTGTTCAGGAAGGGAATGAAAATGAAGTTAATTCTCAACATGGCGGTATTAAATCTTCTGAATTTGGTGAAGATAATCAGACTACAGTATCGCAAGAGAAGACTGAAATTTCAGGTTCAGGACAAGTAGTATCTGAGAATTCAAAGGAAAAGATCCAAGAGTCAATGGTATCTCTTGAAGGGGATGTCAACAGGATTCCATCTCCGAATGATGCTGATTTTAGTAAAAATGCATCATCCTCCTCCAATAATGTGCCAAATGAAATAACGGAGATTGTGGAGTCTTCTGATTCTACCACCAAGCAGAGTCAAGCTAATTTTGTTGATTCAGGTACTCTTTCGTTGTGTTTGAAATGAGTGGCCAGCTCTCGATTTTGAGGCATACGTGCTGCTTATGTCATTGTTTGTCTTCTTATTTTTTTTTTTTTTTCCTTCTTTAGATAATATGTTATCTATGATATGTATTCTTTTGATGTAGATATAGTGAATCTAAAATGAACGTAATTTTATTCACACATCAGTTACTACTTACTAGTTAATTCCCAGTGGTTGAATTGAGCCCTAGTTTAATTTCATAGGTTGTCTGTTAGCATTTTCAGTGTGTTAATGGTAATCCTCAGTGTTTCCTTGAAAGAAAGTAGATCCTTGATTTGGCACCTACGATTGTCGAGATTTATTTTATTACAGGGGAAGTACTTGTAGAAATTTGTAAATGCTTATTGACTAATCTGTACCCCGTTGCTACACTGCACGTGGGTTTTCAAAATTACCTTCCCTCCTGATTAGCTAGATAATACTGTAGCACTCACTCTCTTCTAGTTGTTCTAATGACTGGCTTTATATCTGTGGCTTTGACTTGGCAAATTGAGAATATTTTTTCAGTAGTGAAATTTGTTTCACTCAAGTTTTGAGCATGCCTGGCTTGAATTGATGTCAGAAGTCATTCTGGCAGCTGAGTGTAAAATAGAAAGGTTGTTTATTGTGGCGGGTTACATTTCATATTATTCTTCATATTCTCTGATGATAATTTATCCCAACCTTATTTCAGATTGTGATCTTTCGCATGGAAAATGGATTCATGACATGAAGGGGCCTCTGTACACAAATAACTCATGTCCTGTGATCACTCAGATGCAGAACTGCCAAGGGAATGGAAGGCCAGACAAAGATTATGAGAACTGGAGATGGAAACCATCCCAATGTGAAATCCCAAGATTTGATCCGAAGAAGTTCTTGGAGTTAATGAGAGGAAAAACTTTAGCTTTTATTGGTGATTCAGTTGCACGGAATCAGATGGAATCAATGTTGTGTATCCTGTGGCAGGTTAGAAGAGAGGCCTATATCTCAAATTGATGATACATTCAGTTACATACTTCTTACTTATTTTATCCAGTTAAAAATTTCTAACTGCGAAACTGTTTCTTGGCTAATCGGCTCTTCTCACTTATGTGTTTGATAATCCTAATTCAGAGTGACATTTACTAAAGTAGCTATTGTTTGACTGCCTGTTGTAACTCATGCCAGTTTTCTGGAGCACCTCTCTCTCTCTCTCTCTCTCTCTCATTTGTATTCTTTTCAATTGCATCATGAAGAGCACGTGTTTTCTGCTTAACTTCACGAAGGCAAAAATAGGACAAAATCAACATGATTCTGCATTATGTGGAATGGTTAATGAAAAGACCTACTAAATATTGTTGCTTCTCTATTAACACAGGAATAGAAAATAAGCTACAGTAAGTTTCAGGAATGATAGACATCGAATTTCGTTGAAAATAATGACGTAACTCGTTTTCTGTTGAAAACTTGGCTGCAGCTAATGTTGTGTGCCATATTAGGTAACTAAACTCTTTTGTCCAAGGGTGCGAAGATTTGCTTTTAAGATGCATCAGGTCTCATTGTTGCTGACAATACACCTGTGTTTGAGTTGCAATGTCTTGTCTTATTCCACTGTATGCTTTTTCAGGTCACACTATTCAAATACATCTGTGAACTTTAGTATAGCGTGTGCCTGAGACTCTGAGTATAGTGTGTGCTTCATTTCACATGTGGGGTTAAGTTGATTCCTGGACTTCCTGAACATGTCTAGAAGAAGTTGATCTGTTAACTAGCAGAATTAACTGTATTCAATACTCATGCGAAGTCCCTATTTCATAAATCGACACTGCTTAAAATCTTTCCCTTTCTCCTCTCACAGGTGGAGGCCCCCAAAAATCGAGGCAACAAGAGAATGCAACGCTACTACTTCAGGTCCACATCCACAATGATTGTCCGCATATGGTCCTCCTGGCTCGTCCACCAGACATCTGACCCGTTAGACTTTGCGCCAGCTGGTGTGGTCAAGCTCCACCTGGACGCCCCAGACGAGGTCTTCATGGACTACATCACGGACTTCGACGTGATCGTCCTTTCCTCAGGCCACTGGTTCGCCAAGCAGTCGGTCTACGTTTTGAACAACGAGATTGTCGGGGGACAGCTATGGTGGCCCGATAACTCTCGAAAGAAGAAAATCGACAACATCGAGGCTTTCGGGGTTTCGGTCGAGTCCATTCTTACAGCTATGGCCACGCATCCCAACTACACGGGCCTCACCATTGTCCGGAGCTTCTCGCCTGACCATTACGAAGGCGGGGCCTGGAATACAGGCGGGTCTTGCACGGGGAAAGTACAGCCAGCCGAGGAAGGAAAACTGGTCGAGAATGGGTTTACCAATGTAATGCATGAGAAGCAGGTGACGGGTTTCAACCGCGCGTTGAAGAAGAAGACGAACAAGTCGAGAATGACGCTGCTGGATATCACGGAAGCCTTCTCGTATAGGCATGACGGGCATCCGGGCCCATACCGAAGCCCGGACCCAAATAAGGTTACTAAGAGGGGCCCGGATGGGAGGCCGCCGCCACAGGATTGCCTGCACTGGTGCATGCCGGGCCCGGTGGATACGTGGAACGAGCTGGTTTTCGAAATTATAAGACGAGAGTTTGGCAAGAGATCAGATAGTTCGCTTTGAGGGTTTAGTGTGTGATGGGTTTTGTCCAGAAGTGAGTGTTGTTTGGTTAGAGACATTCTTTTGCCTTGTTTTTACTTCATACTATATTTTCCATTGGAGGAAATTATGTAACTTATGGTTAAATGAGATCTAGCTGGTTTGGTTTTATAGCAGACAGATGTTATTGTAAACGGAACGATTTTTAATAGTAAGTTAATTAATTTCCTCGAGTTTAATATCGACTAGCGCTTGTTATTCTGCATCCAGAGTTTTCTATGTAATACACCATCCTTTATACATGTGGTATTGAAGGATATCAAATATATGATTTTCTGTCCCTGCAGAAAAAGCAGGTAAAAAGCTGTGAAGGTGGTTCCGAATACAGTACGGACATGCCTTAGCTTACGAATGCCCCTGGTTGCAGGTAAAGTCACGTGAAGTTACGACGTGTTTGCGAATGTGCATTTGGTGCATATTCTGTTGCTCGTTTTTGACTGTATACGGGTTCCTCTTCTGCTGGGATATGTCTTATATGGAGAAATAAAGTTTCTGATGTTTGCATATGCTGTAAAACATTGGCGCTTGTCTGAACCTTTAAGTGGCCTGTGCAATGTTTGTATGTCGAATCCTCACATTTGTTACTAGCTGCTCCTTTAGTTTTCTACTTCAAGGACATCGTTAGATAGAGCTGAAAAAGAGCACGTTGCCTCGTGATCATTAAGTCAAGATGATATTTTTTATTGATTTCAATTTCTGCTGCTTTTTTTAGAGTAGTGATTAATGCTATACTAGCACACTTAAGAGTTGAGAATTTTTTGTTCAGTCTGATATGGACCATGTGGGGTAGGTAGGTAGGTTAGTTCTTGGATTCTAAATTGTTTTGTCCATAAAACTCAAGGAGAATGTATCAGCTTTTTCAAGATACCAAAATAACAGCTGCACGTCTTGTATTTGTATTATTATTATTATTATTATTATTATTATTTTTTTATATTTTTGGGGCTTCGGGTGATTTTCTGACAGCTCTTCATAGTCGCTGTTAGAGTGTTTTTGATTTGTACGTCAAATTCGCAATAGACTCAATTAGATTCCATTTCCAAATTTCTAACCTAGTTGGTAGTTTCCAAAGACGTGGCAAGCTATATGACAACATTAAACAATTAATAGTAAGAGTCCATCAAAAGATAGTACCTTTGAGGCTCTGACTTTTACATTTTTTCGCATTATCAAATTCATGGTCATTGCTCTTATAAATTATAATTTACACCAAAAATGAAGAACTCAACATCATATTATAAAAACATGTGCCTCAGTTAAAGTTTGGTATGCCTTTCAGATCTCTCAACCCTCAATGGTGGTGCTAAGCACGTAAATCCGCGTTAATCTAATTGAAAAGGACAAAGACAATAATTCATATCCATAACAAACACCAAACACCAACTATATATACTTCTCCATTTCACCATCCTCAAACATCAAACTCTAACCAAAAACCCAAA